AGAAAAGAAGAAATAGGGGTGACATGATAGCAGTATTCCAGTATTTGAGGGGCTGCCACAAAGAAGAGGGGGTCAAATTATTCTCCAAAGCGCCAGAGGGCAGGACAAGAAACAATGGCTGGAAACTGACCAAGAGAGAAGCAACCAGGAATTAAGGAGAAACTTCCTGATAGTGAGGACAATTAACTAGTGGAGCAGGTTGCCTTCAGAAATTGTGGGCGCTCCATCACTGGAGGTTTTTAAGAAGAGACTGGACAGTCACTTGTCTGAGATGGTATAGGTCCTCCTGCTTGAGCAGGGAGCTGTACTAGAAGACCTCCAAGGTCCCTTCCAGCTCTATTCTATTCTGTTCTCTCCATATGTGACCCTATTTCGTTTGTAGACAAAAAAAAATACATGGATCTCCTGGCACCATTTATTTCTTCCATTTAAAAGGTGTATAGTAGGCTCATGGTATAGTCCTTGACTTACAATTGAATCCAACATTTCTGTTGCTAAGTGAGACATTTGTTGAATTTTGCCCCATTTTACGACATTTCTTGCCACAGTTGTTAAGTGAATCATGGTAGTTCTTAAGTTAGTAACTCAGCTGTTAAGAGAATCTGGCTTCCCCACTGACCTTGCTTGTCGAAGGTTGTAAAAGGTGATCACATGACCCTGGGATACTGCAACTGTCATAAATGTGACTCAGCTGTCAAGCATCCGAATATAAATGTGACCATGGAGATGCTGCAATTGTTATGTGTGTAAAAATCGGTCATAATTCACTTTTTAAGTGTCGTTGTAACTTTGGTCACTAAATGAACTGTTGTAAGTTGAGGACTACCTGTATTACCCTGTAGTTTTCTGAGTATCAGTTGTATTTCAGAAAAATATCACCATTGTTGTCTCATGTACAAAGGGGGTGCCCACATCAGTGTTAAAATATCTTCTGAAATTTTGTACTGCTGTTTAATTATGCGCCTTTACTCAACATCAGAAATTCAAGCATAGAAAAGGAACAGTTTTGTTCTGCACCTGGGGCAGGTGCAAAATCTGTCCTGATAATTTCAACACAAAGTTAATTTAGATCTGACAGCTAGCCCAGTATTCAATGCCATCACATGTTATAGCAACCATTTTCCTAACAATGAATCAGTTGTCAGTATATATTTCAAAGTCTACCTTGCCAAGTTTCCTTTTCTGCAAATACATCTTTTCATCCAAGTATTCAAACTAGCTCCCTGCATTTAAATCTTAAGGAACTTTAACATTTATAGAATATAACATTTATTCTATAACATTTATTCTATAGCAACACAATTCCTCTTTTGATTATGGTTCATAACTAAATATATCTGACTTAACTTGTTACGTTTTATAGAAAAAATGCTTTCTGTCTCGGCATCCTATCTGACATGGTACATTGTAAATTATGTTTTACAATTATTTGTTTCAGTAATATGGTGTGATTAATAAATTGGACTATCATATATTTCATTCCAACTCTAGCACTGCTCCCAAAACATGAAAAGATGGAGGCACGTCTATTTATATCCCTATCGATTTCTAGTCTTTGCTTCCTAGTCTTTAGTCAGTTCTACCAATCTATAATGTGCATTCCTTTCTCATCTTATGACTGCTAAGTTTGTTTTTAGTGTGACTCTGTCAAAATAAAACATATCTGCCATTTCATCTTTATCTACGGGTATATAGACATTCTAACTATATATATATATATATCATCAATGAAAGAAGATGTCACTTGAAGGAAGCCACATTAATTCTTCTTCAGCAAGAATGTTTATTTTATCTTCAATAATTGCTCAGAACAGGTTTTAAGCTAGCCAGGGCAGTTTCCTAGAACCACCAGATTCCTTTCTAGTCCTCTAATGCAGAGGCAGATCTTGAAGACATATTTCTGTGAAGAATTCTTGGATAACTACCATCTGGACTCTGATTTACTTTCAGTTTTCCAAGACATTTTAAAATTTTATATCACTTTTCACCATGATTTACTTCAGTTCCTCAAGCTCTATTTTTCAAAATAGTATTCCAGGGATAAAAAAGCCATTTTACATTCTCTGAAAATTGACATAAATAACTTAGATTCTTTATTATTTTTTTTTACTTTTTTACTCTTTAAACTTATTTTCTTTGGGGGTTCCAATTCTGATTGACAGATTAGTATTTATTTTAATGTCAATAGCAATTTGCCCTCTATACAGTGTACTATGTGTACTCTTTTATGCAACTTTATCCTCCCCCTTTTCATTTATAAATAGAAAATAAGGTCCATTTCTTTATCATCTAAGAGGCATCCAAATTTAGATACATTTTAGGTCAAATGTGATTATATTGAATTTCCTTGGCAATTCACTTATATTTAGATTTAATAAACTATGGCTACTGTTTCCAATGAATTCAACAATCTTTCTTTCTAAAATTCTATATTTAATAGGGAAAGATATATGTAATTCAGAAAGGATTCAATTATTTGAACAAAACTTGGTAACTATGTAATTCAGAAAGGATTCAATTATTTGAACAAAACTTGGTAACTAAAATGAATTATGAAAAAATAAAGTTTATGCCATAAAATTCTAAAGCTTTTACCATCAATAGTCATACATTTCATTATTCTAAATCTGACATTTTGTACTCCATTTTGTTAATGGACATTTCCCCCACAAGAGCCATTTTGGGACAGCACTTCTAACATTTTTTGCAAAATTCCAAATCTGATCATTGCTGCTGAAATACAGGATTTTTTCCCTTACATCACAAAATGAAAGCTATATCATATTCTTCTCTGGTTTTGTTTTTCCTACATTTTTCCTTCAATTAATTTTGGCTGCCCTTTTTATCACCTTTGCAGACTGAGATATATGCACAGGTAGTCTTTGACTTACAACAGTTCATTTTGTTCAAAGTTACAACAGCACTAAAAAAAGTGACTTATGACCAATTTTCACTTATGACCTTTGCAGTAATGCAGCATCCCCATGATCATGTGATTAAAATTCAGACACTTGGCAATTGACTCATGTTTATGACAGTTGCATGTCCCGGGGTCATTTTGCAACCTTCTGACAAAGTCAATGGGGAAGCCGGATTCATTTAACCATGTTAATAACTTAAGAATTGCAATTATTCACTTAATAACAGTGGCAAGAAAAGTCGTAAAATGGGATAAAATTCACTTAAGAAATCTCACTTAGCAACAGAAATTTTGGGTTTAGTTGTGGCCATAAATCAAGGATTATCTGTACTTGCTTTTGAAATAATCTCATAAACTAAGAACCAGTTGGGTTTGTGACCATCTGACTTTATACTTCTCTTGTCTAATATAATTCCATTATCCACTACGAAAGACTTGAACCAAGTTTTATAACTAGAAAGACTTGAACCGAGTTTTATAACTAGTTCTAATTGTTGACCTAACCTTTTTTTGATGTAATTTTTTATTCACCTGGGATTAAGCTCAATTGGACTCAGCCTTAACTCAGTACTGAATTGTCTGGATATGAGACAAAGAATCTGAAAAGAAAGAAGGGCTGAATTGAGGTAAAGGTTAGGAAAGCTATAAAATAGTAATTAGAGGCCCTAACCTGCTTGAAGCAAAGCAAGGGCAGCAGATCGGTTTGATTCTGCGGGGAAATTTCCAGATCCAATTGATCACCGTACATTTTCTGTCCCGTGATTTAGCAATGTGAGGAAAACATTGTTTTTTAAAATATAAATATTTTAAACAAAATGCAGTATGACTGATTTTAGTATAACTAGGATCATGCATGAATTAAATTCTAAAGTAGTTTGTTCAATTGGGTTTAATAGGCTGTGTTAACCAGTGGCTCATTCAACAAACCATAACTTAATCACCATCGGTTTTCAAATATCTTGAAGATTTGGCTTTTTTTGATACATCCAGGAGCAGGATGGTTTGTGACCTGACTTTCCATTTAAACTTTTGTAACAGGTTTTTTTTTTTAAATTTCTGCACTATGGGTTCTAGCTACTTTATTTTTTCATCCGCCTTGCCTTAATTATGTATATTCCTTAAGTGCATAGATTTGCAGTTGTGATTGAAGCAGCCTATAAGTTGATTAATTAGTTAGAAAAAAATCATAAAACCTTGCCTTGAATTGTTGGAGGCCAGGCAGAATATAAATCTAACACAATACTTGCAAACGCCGGGAAGATCCTGAACATGTAGATACATAATTAAATTAACAAGATTCAGCCTCTGCTTTAGTCCCGATGGACGCAAAGGAACAGGTTTATTCTCCTGGGCCAAGGACTTAATGCAGACAGGATCGTAATTTATATTGTGGGAATAAGTTATACTGGATCGATTTAGACACGATTGCAACATAATAAGCCTAAAATGGAGCCTCTTTTCGCTCTTCCCCCAGAATTAGCGCGTCCCCCCCCCCCACGCTTCGGGCTCTCCCTCCAGTCTGATTACAGGACCGCAGGGATCCCTAAGCCTCCCCTTTCCCTTTAAGGACTTATGCGCTTCTGCCTTAATTGCCAGGATCGTCGGCGTTTGCTCCAAGCTTCTGCCGCTTCTCCGCCTTCTCCTTCATTCCCGAAGGCTTTCCAACAAACACCAGGGTTTCTCCTTTGGGTGGGGTCCATCTGCGTCCCTCCATTTTCGGGGGGTGGGGAAGGAGTGAGAATGCCTTTTGCGCTCAGCCCTATCTTTCCCCCCAATCGGTGCGAGGAAAGTTACGCCTCGGAAGCGAAACTTGCACGTGTTTTAAAAAAATAATAATAATAAAAATAAATGAAAAGGAGATCCCACCCCTTGTCTTAATAGGAATTACCCCCCCCCCACACACACAACACGCACCCACACCTGGGCGGGTCAAGCTAGGAGGGAGCGGGCAATCCAACACGTGCAGCCTCCACCCGTTCCTCCCCCCCCCTTCCGTCTTTCCCTGCGGGCGTTTGAAGAGGGCGCCTCTAGTCAGTTAACTCCTGACGTTTGGGTATCATGTGAATGATTGAGTTCCCATGGTTCACTCTGAGCCGAGGCTTGCCCCACCCCATCGCCGCCTCGCTCGCGCTCCCCTTCCTCGCTCGATTTTAATATTAAAATCGCCCCCCCCGTCCTCCTTCGTGGGGAAATGCAGGAAAGAGGAAGGAAAATTAAATAGGGAGTGGGGTGGGGGGGAGCGCGGAAGGAAAGCTCCCCATAGGAGAGTTATTTTTGTTTTGGGGGAGGAGATCCACACTGCGTTTTCCTCTCTGCTGCCTCTTTCCTCCTCCTTCTCCTCCCCCCCCCCACGTCCCCTTTACCCCTCGTCTCCCCGCATTTGCCGGAGAGGCGAGAGCCGATCGAGCCGCCTGGAAGCCGAATGTGAATAAGCAAAAGGGCGAGGAAGAGGAGGAGGCCCTTGGATTTGTACAAACCACCATTAGGGCAGGAAGACGCGCAGCAGCGGCCGCCGCACCGCAGGCTGGAGAGGAGGAGGAAAATCTACCCAGCCCAGCCCGGAACGCAGAAGGGACTCGCCTTTGCCTGCCCGACGCCGCGGAAAGGTTAGCGGTGACCCTTTCGGGCGCTTCACCCACTTTGCAGGAGGCGCCTTGGAAGGGGAAGCCGCCAGGCTGAGGAGGAGACCGAGAGAAAACGGGCAATTTTAGCAAAAAAAAAAAAAAAAAAAGGCCAGCTAAAGAAGAGGGACGTTGCTAGAGCCTCGGTGCCCGGAATTGGGAGGGTCTCCCCCCCTCCCCCGCCGGCTTTCTGGAGCTTGTTTCTGCTGCTGCCTCGATCCTGAAGGATTATATGTAAAGTGAAGAAGACAATTTTGCTTTTATTCTGTTCCCTCACCGCCGGCGGAGGTGGCGTGGAAGCTGGAGATATTTAAAGAAAAACCCACCCAGATTTGGTGGTGGCGGCTCTCCCTGCGGGGTTTGGGGGGGCGAAGGAAGAAAAGGGAAGCCAATTTTTAACCCGTGATCCTTCCCCCTTCGGGTGGCTGCCGACCTCCCTACGTTCCCTGCCCCCCTCCCTAATTGCCTCCCCCCCTCCTGTGTTTGTGTGTGCGCGCTTTTTTTAATTGGGGGGGAAAAATCTGCATTGCGAGCGGATTCTGGCGGCGGTGTAGGGGAGAAGGAGGTGAAGGCCCGGCTTGAGCGGTAGCAAAGTCATCGCTCCCCCCCCCTTTCCCCGGCCCCCACCCCGTTGTCGGCTCCGGGCTCTCCATGTCTCTGGGTAGCGACAGCTGTGCGTGAAAGAATAATATTGAAAGGGAGCAAGGAGACTCGCCGCCGCCTCGCCCGCGACCCTCGATCGCTTCCTGCTTCCCCTCCTTTTCCCCTTCCCCCTCCCCCTCCATTGCACCCCCCAAGATGGGCTGTTTAGGGAACAGCAAGACTGAGGATCAGCGCAACGAGGAGAAGGCGCAGCGAGAGGCCAACAAGAAGATCGAGAAGCAGCTGCAGAAGGACAAACAGGTCTACAGGGCCACGCACAGGCTCCTCTTGCTGGGTAAGGCGCGTGGGCGTCGGGGGCGGGAAGGGAGGGGAGAGGCCCCCTCCTCCGGGCCCGGGGAGACGGGTGGGCTGGCTGGCGGGGACTGGGCAGGAGAGGTGGGGCCCTGCTGGCTGGCTCGCCCGCCGCCTCCAATGAAGCGGGCCCCGTGCCAGGAAGAGGACGGGGCGGGCGGAGGGGTTTTGCTTTCTGCCCTTTTCCCAGGCTGGCGGCCCAGATGTCAAAAGGAGGGGGGGATGGGAAGAGACGGGGGCTGTAGAGGGGGGGGGCTGGAAAGGAGTAGGCCTTGGCCCTCCCTGCTGATCTCCCCATCCTGCACCTTGGACTAAAAGGAGGGGGCCTTTGGGGGGGGTGACCCTTGGGGGAGCAGAAGTGTCCGGGGAGGGACTAAGATCATCTCCAGGGGAGTTCAGGAGGAAGTCTTTTTCCTCTCCCCTTTTAAAATTACCTTTTTTGTGGGCTTAAGGTGGAAGGGATGGCCTGGTCACTTCCTTGCCCGAAAATTCCATAGATGACACATAATACAACTATTATGATAATACAACTAATACAACTGTTATGATACAACTATTTTAATAACACTCCTTTTTCTTCTCCCCCCAAGACCCCATTCTTCTCCGTTGAAAGTCCTTGGCCTTTTTGGTTTGGGACTTTTTTTGGCCCCCCAAAGTTAGTTAATAAATAAAAATTACTTCATTCTACCTCTGCCCTTCTGCTCCCATTGCTTGTTGTTAGCTTGTGCAGAGTGATAAGGGTGGGCAAAGCCCCTCTTTTCAAGTCATCATTTGGGCAGCTCTTAACTGCCGGAGTGAACTGTGGTTGGGATTGAAGGGAAAAGTCATTTTCATATAAATAAAATATTCGGATTGATAATGACATGGATGGCTTTGGGGATGCAACAAAATATTCGGCACTTCCGTTAAGGTACTTGATGCCACAGGCAGTTGGTGGGAACTGAAGTAAATATAGTAGATGGAAATAGAGGATATAAGGAGAATCAGGACTCAGTCTGCTGTCTGCTGAAGATGGCACATTAAATCCTTGCAGGAAGTGTGTTGAATTTTTTTTGCAGTGAGTTGGTGAGGTGGAGAGAGAAAAATATAGGTATTTCTTTGGCAATATAAGGGAAAGGGGAGTGGGCTAAAGAGCTAATACTTGGTTAAATTTTAAATACGGGAATTGGGTTGCATTCTTTTCTTTGATACTTTTGTTGCAAATGGGACTGGGAATAAGACTTTCTGTACAAAGAGTTGTGGTTTTAGCAAATGTCGGTCTTGATATCACAGAGTGGGCTATTTGGATATATTTTCCACAGTCTTTCCTTCCTACAGTTTTATCTGAAAATCCTGAGTAAAAATAAAGTGAATAGTACATTTTCTAACATGTACTTTATCTAAATATGATAGTCTCTTGAGTAGAGTATTCCTTCTGAATAGACTGACTTTGTGGAGGAAGAAAAGAAAAGCGAGGTGTGAGTTTTACAGTGTTGATTTGGAGAAGGACTAAAGATCAATTCGAAGAATAACAATGTTTCCTATGATAAATGATTTGTTGAGATCCTGTTTAACTTAAGTTGGAATGAAATAGTTGACCGTACACATACATTTTACAGACAGCCGTTATTGCTAGGGTTACAATTTAAGAATACATACAGTACTGGATATTAAAATCTTTTTAAATCATTTGATTTACTTCCATATATGTACGTTTTAGACTGAGTTTAATATGTTTTTGAAATTCTGATGATCAGAAAAATGCTGAGGGAAAATGCGCAGACTCTTCATAGTTAGAACATGTCTTTTATGTTTGGCTGGGCCTAAATGTATAATCGTACATAGTAGTTTTATGATTGTACAAAACAGTTAACAGCAAGAAACCTTTGCTGTTGTAAATGCTATAAAACAGCACAATGCAGGGCATTTCAAGTATTCCAGCATATTATAAACATGTTAAGAATAATTAAATGGAGGAGGAAGCTTTGTCCCAATCTTATTTATAAGGCTTGATATATTTTAGGATACTTAATGTAGTGTCTCAATTGAAGAAACATTTAATGGTTGTATTAGTGACATATTTTGTGGCTTCTAGTTATATGAGAAAAATTAACACTGTTCAGTTTGGTCTTCTATAGATCAATACTAGCAATGTTGGGGTTAATGTTTTCATTTAAATGTGTCATTGCTTCAGTATAGGTTGGTTTTAATTTTTAGGTCTCTGGTATTATAAGACAGTACTTATATATATTTAGGTGGAAGATGTGGGGAAACACCCTTGATTTTGATCAGCTCTCTTACTGCTTGGTAGGAAAGACATAGTTCTGTGACTGGCAAGGACTTGATGCAATTATTTGTCTGGCTGCAAGAAATAGGGAATTTGATTTTCACCAGTATTTATGAGGAATGAAAGGAAAAGGCAGTGAAAATCTAATATTTTGGTCTCACCGCGTTTAACGGGTAGATTTGAAGAAGGCTGAAAACATTAGCAATGTGCTATGGTAATCAGGGGCCAGAATGGCCGGGCAGATAAAGACAGAGAAAGAGAAGGACAAAATTGGAGCCTTCTGCAGCCAAATAGCCTTTGATATATAGCTGCTAAAATTTAGTTTTGTGTATGAGACTCAAAATGGAGGATTGTGCTGTAGTGAGTGCTAAGAGAAAGCTTGGCACCGCAGATACTACAGTGCTTTTGTGAGCAATGCCCTCTTTAAGCAGTGTACCCTTTTTTCCCTCCCCTTAGGCTGGTGAGAAGCTATCTTAGAAAATGAATTGCCATGACAAACGATATTGGGGTATCTGTGGGTTTGTGGTAATAAAGCAGGTCTTGTGCTCCTGTAGAAGAAAAGGGTACTTCTGGGTAAAAACAATGCAAACTGGAATAGTTGCTATCTTCAGCCAGATTTTGTGGCTGAAACCGTCCCTTGGGCTGGTTGAGTGGGGGCAGATTTGGAGAAAGCTTGTTTCAAGAGGGGGAGAAGGAGAAAGGGTAGGGAGCAGAACCAAGGATGTAGGCTGCGCAGGAGGGTAGGAAGTTTAAGGTCATGGAGAATATGTGAAGTTGATGGAGAGACAGTTTTTAGAGGGCAGTTGCGAGATACAGTACAAAAGGAAACTTTTATGCAATAGTGGAGTGAAGGGAAGGCCAGGGAAATAGGTGTCTTCAATGTTCAGTGCATTTGACTGGCTGTGGCATGGGTGGAAGGCTCAAGGATCTCCAGACCAAATTGGCCAGTGTTTTGCTCAGTATGGACTGCAGCAATTTGGTCTTGCTGCTTTCATGGGTTGGGAATGATGATAGCATTAGATGGTCTACCTACCTTTTTCCTCTTAAGGTATTGGAGTTCTACATTGTGCCTGTTTCAATAAAGACACTGGAAAAAATGGATAGTGAAGCATTCCAAGCTTCTACTCTCACACATGACTTTAGCTTGGCATTTATTTTTAGTTACAGTTGCAGTTTCCAGTGGCAATTACTTTTTTTTTTTTTTCCTTTCAGTTTTCAAGTTTGGATTGCATCGTCCAGGTTTGGGGACTATTGCTTGTTGAACAGGAGCAGTGGCACACAATCCCCCTGGGGTTTTTTTCTACTATTTCCTGAAACAGATTTGTTTTTGCTTTTTAGGTGCTGGCGAATCGGGTAAAAGCACAATTGTCAAGCAAATGCGGATCTTGCACGTCAATGGGTTTAATGCAGAGTAAGTATCTCGATTCTGATTACATTACTTGAAGATGCAGGTGTCATTTCATTTTGAGAATTATTTTGTGGATTCCTCATCCCTCTCCCCTGTGTTTCATTTAATCCAGGCCATGAGACTGGATTTCAGAAATACGTTTAAGGAAACTGTCATTAGCTAACTTCATCAAAGGTTTGCTTGTCAGGTTTTATGAAAGCAAGGTTTTGGCAGCCATTTCTTCCTCATTGTGGCTGACATGGCAGCTTTCGCTGTCGCTCATTATTTTGTGCTGTTCTCAGTGCTTTCTTGCAAAGAAGAGTAAACATGAAGTAAACGCCACATACTTTATTATACAACATTTAAGATTTACCGTACTTCAGGAATCTTTTCTTATAGTGGTGTGCTGTTTTAGATTGTTGACCTATACAAACTGTAGTTGCAATTCGTTTTCCATAGATGGATAAACCACTTCCATATTGTTTAAGTCTTTTGGTCTGATGGGGCACATGCTATGATGTGTGTAGATAATTCAGAATTTAATTGACAGGTTTAAAAAAACATTTAAATGTTACATTGCAACCAAGCCATTAAAGTTAGATACTTTAAAACCTCTCATTGGGCATTTATGCAGAAGTGGGACTAGAAACAAACTTTGTGTGTGAGGATCTATGCCAGTGGTTCTCAACCTGTGGATCGGGACCCCATTTGGGGTTGAACGACCATTTCACGGGGGTCGCCAAACAACACAGTCCGCTATTCTCCCCCCCTTTCCTTAGCTGTGCTACTCCCTTTTATTCTATTGGCTTTTGAAAGCCAATAGAATAGACTCTCTTGAATAGAGTCTAATTCTATTGGCTTTCAAAAGCCAATAGGAATTATCCAGGCTGTCTCTGCCCTGCTGAGCCCGCCAAAAGTCCCATTCCGCAAACGGTGCTGCACCAGTTGAGTAGTCCTCGACTTACGACCGGTTGAGTAGTCCTCGACTTATGACCGGTTGGGGGTCACAGCATTAAAAAGGTTGAGAACCACTGATCTATGCAAATTACTGGTCTTTTAATTAGTATTCTGGGTTGGAATACATGCTTTATAGAAAAATCTAAGTAATTTCCTCAAAAAGTGTCAATTCAAAGACCTCTTTTTTTCCTCTTCAGAATTATGCCTTAAGCATTTCTTTTCCATATGCTGTACCCAAAACTCTTTGTTGGTAACATGCACCAGAATCCAGCTATCTGCTCCAGTCATTTTGAACACCCAAAGTCCTTTTCTGTGTTTTTTTTATGGCGGTAAATGCAGAGAACTTTAAAACTGTAAATAGTGAAGAGGAAAGAGACATACAAAAACAGTTTGTTACAATGGCATGTAGGAGCCAATATGAGGTGGTGGTAAAGGCCTCATGCTGGAAACCAGGAAATCGTGAGTTCTAGTTCAGACTTAGGCAGGTAGCCCTCTCGGTTGCTTTGGGCCATTCGTTCTCAGCTCTAGGAAGGAGGCAATGGTAAACCAATTCCAAAAATGTTGCCAAGGAAATTGCAGGGGCTTATCCAGGCAGTTGCCAGGAGTTAACGCTGATTCAAAGGCACTAAAAAAAAAAAAGTAGAAGAAGCAGCTCCACCATTGGGGATCTCATGTCAGAAATCCAACAAATACATCAGCTAAATAAAATGAGGCATTTAGATCCCAGTTTTGTACTCCTCATTAAGTTCACATCTGTTACATCATAGGAAGTTCCCTGCTTACCAGGCCAGAAGGACGATGTTTTGATTCTGTCTGTCTCAGCAAGATACTTCCAGGAGATGCAGACTTTATTGAAATTTTCTCCTCACCTTCCTCTCAAGTGTGTTCAGTAATATGTTGCTTCTGACCGTTGCAGATCTGTTTACATAGTCAGGCTAATTATTGCAAAAGACGTACCTTTGAATTTATTCAATTTTTCCTGAAAACATTACAAGCTAGTGTGTTGTGTGAAGATATACTAATTGTTGCTGAACAAATTTAGTGCAATTTTGAGTTTCCCTCCATTGGATATTTTATAAAATCTTTTGGATTCTCCAAACCAACAAGTCATAATGATTCTGTTTCATTTTTTCCCCTTGGGAGAAATTGCTTGACTACCATGATCAGGTTTTTACATCCTGCCCTATGCTGTGTCTTTCAAAGAAGGAAGTGACCTGTATCATACTTTAGTGACCTAAGTGCACCTTATCATGCTTAATCTTTGCTAGTTTGGAAACTCTTGTTTTTGTTGCTCCTAACAAGCTATGGATGGCTTGGCTCTTCTCAGCCGTTTGAAAAAGGAGACCCGCAATTGTCTGTCTCTCTCGCTTGCTATCTTTTTATTGATTTTATTGTAATTTCTTTGATTGTATACAGATTTCATAAATTATTATTTTATATACACAACAATGTGGAATCACAGTTGTGAGGTCTAACTAGCGTTGGCCTTCATAGGCACTAAGTTCTTCCCGAGAACCTAGGACGGGTAGGCAACCTTGGCTCTTTTATGACTCGTGGACTTCAACTCCCAGAATTCTGGGAGTTGAAGACCACGAGTCATAAAAGAGCCAAGATTGCCTACCCCTGACCTAGGATGTTACTGTATAGTATATTGGCATATCATTTATTTATTAAATTTGTTTGCTGCCTATCTTGTATATGTGTGGATCAAACAGGTGGCCTTCTGTAATTGATAGATGGAAATTTTGTCCATGTGTAGATTTTCTAAGCGCCATCCAAGATATTTTTGTTATGGTACTCCGTGAATCACCACGACTGGTTTATGCCATAATCTTTCAACTTTTCAGATCTTGATATTTTATATTCTTCTCCACTTCTTTGTCTTTTATTCTACTATCCCCTGGTTCTTGCCACATCGCTTAGCCACACTTTACTTTTTTATTTTTCACAATTTTATTTTAACTTTTTATTATCCACATTATTATTATGGTTTGTCACACAGCCAGATGTTTAAAATTTGGATAATTAAATTTGGCATTATTATTGAAAAGTCATCTGTGTAAAGGCTACATAGGTGATCCATCCATACGATGTTTGAGATAAGGCAGTAGCTGTAGTTTGGCTGATAGTCCATCATAGTGTTACACCTTTCCAAAAAGATGACTTTGAAATATAGCTTTCCCTTTAGAAAAAAGATATGTATCTAGTACGTGATTTTGGTTTTTTATATGCCATGGTGGCACAATGGTTAGAATGCAGTATTGCAGGCTAATTCTGCTGACTGCCAGGAGTTCGATTCTGACTCACTCAAGGTTGACTCGGCCTTCTATCCTTCCAAGGTCGGTAAAATGAGCTAGATTATTGGAGGCCATATGCTGACTCTGTTAATCGCTTCAAGAGGGCTGTAAAGCATTAAGAAGTGGTATATGTCTAAATGCTCTTGCTATGTTTCATAAAAATAAGCACCTTTTCTGAGTAACAAATTTATTGAAAAGCATAAAATTTTTAATATGTATGATTTGAAAAGAGAATTGGGTGGGGAGGAGGAAAGATAGTAATGCAGATACAGGTTACATGTGAGACAAAATACCTTATTAATTAGCAATTGTAGTGTTACAAACATACTGTTTTGGCTAAGACCAGCCTGAAAGTTTGTCTGTAAATTCAGCAATCTCTTGATTTCTTTCTTCTAAAACAGCTACTTTGAAATCTGTAGTGAAGAGTTGTGGGAAATTAAAATGTTGATTATAGATTTCAAAGTTGTTTTTTGAAATTGATGCCCTCTTGCTTCATCCCCTTTTCAAATCCTGAATCACCTTATAACATACTCCATGAAGTGAGTTACAGCTGACAAAAGCTTCTCCTTTAAAAAACTTGTCAATTAAGAGAAGTGCTACCAGATTCCTGATTAAGACTACCATTTCTGTCTATGACATTTTGTTTATGGTCATGGTATGTTTATCATTAAAGAATTTTATTTCTTTTCAATTAATGTGTTTTTAAGAATAAACTTTTTTATGGATTTTGATTTTTCAATTCTCAGCCAAAATTATGTCTAAAATGCATTTTAGTTGCTCGTTTATGTTCCAGAAAGATATCTGCTTTGTTCCAGCATATTTAAAAGTTACGCATTTTAGCATTATTTTTCCTTGTTTTACAAAGAATTAGATATTAAGCAAGTTTGGTATCTGCTACTAGACTTTCTGACTAGATAATGTACATGCACAGATTTTCTTATGGATTCCTTGCTAAATTCCTCATTTTGTAGCATTTTGAACTTTTTTCAAATAATTAGTGTTCTAACTTCTCATTTTTTCCCCACAACAACCCTAAAAGGTAGATTGCAGTTAAGGGAGGGGTAGACGCGCCCAAAATCACCCCAAAAAAGCTTCTGGGCCTGAGGCTGAATTTGAACCTGGGTCTTTCTGGTGCTAGTTCACCACTCTGCCAAACCAGGTCTCCAGGGTTAAAAGCAAGGCACTTTAAAGAGCTAGACCTCACAATAACATGTACAGTACTACATAAATCTAAGTACTAGTGCAGCAGTTCTCAACCTGTGGGTTGGGACCCCATTTGGGATCGAACGACCATTTCACGGGGGTCGCCAAACAACGCAGTCTGCCATTTTTTCCCCCTTTTCCTTAGCTGTGCTACTCCCTTTTATTCTATTGGCTTTTGAAAGCCAATAGAATAGACTCTCTTGAATAGAGTCTAATTCTATTGGCTTTCAAAAGCCAATAGGAATTGTCCAGGCTGTCTCTGCCCTGCTGAGCCCGCCAAAAGTCCCATTCTGAAAACGGTGCTGCAAGTTGTCTGCAGCGAAGGCAAGCTGTTTGGAAGTTTCCACCCCTCCTTGCTGAGCAACTACTAAAAATGTAAGTAAAAGAGGGCCAGGGGTGGGAGGTGGGAGGCCAGTGGGCGCAGGGAGGGTTGCTGGCGCGCATGGGGCCTGGCAGGTGCCTTATCTCCCTTGGGCTGGGCCAGCTGGTGGCCCAGCCGGTGGTCGGCCTGCGCCGTTTCTGCCGCTTGCCAGCTACGCCTCAGCCAACGCAGGGGGTGGCACCACG